ACATTCTGGATGCTCTAACGCCCGTCTGGTATTGCTGTTTGGGGTCGAGGCTGGTATAATTAAGGAATATACCTTAAATCATATTAGGGATCCTACTATAATTTAAGGTATATTCCTTAATTAAGGGGTATTGGAGTCCTCGACATCGCTGGCGGTCGCCATGGGGTGCAGAGAGATCTAGCCGGCGGGTGCAGAGAGATCTAGCTGGCTTTGAGCTTAATCGGCCACTGGGGCATGGAAATAGCAGTCGTGACTTAGTAGCAACCCTAAACCCTAAACCCTAAACCCTAAACCCTAAACCCTAAACCCTAAACTGCACCCGCAAGGCAGTGAACACCCCAGCAGACCGCAACTCTGCGACATGTCCACTGCCTCTGCCTCAGACTCTTCAGTCTGGGGTTTCTTTCCTCCTTGGCTGGCCTGGCGGTTTGAAAAGCTCCAGCTTGGGGGTTTAGGGTTTAGGGTTTAGGGTTTAGGGTTCAGGGTTTAGGGTTTAGGGTTTAGGGTTTAGGGTTTAGGGGGCTTAGATCGGGGTCCGGTGAGGGTAGAGGCAAAAGCCGAAGCCCACCTTCGCTTCTCGCGCAGAAGTTCCAAACCCAATCTGCGCCTTTGCAGCCTTCCCACCCAGTCCGGACTTCGTGGCTTTGCCATCTGGCGTCGTGACACATCGTGACCAGGAAATTCGCTCCGTTTCCGAGGCTTGCTAGCAGGGATAGGGCTACGGCCTTTGTAAGTGAAGAGGCATCCTTTCCTCATGATAATTTCAGCGATGTAGTTTAACAAGCACCCAGTTCAAACGCATGTGGCGGAGACGGTTTGCTGCTGAGCACTGGGTTGCAACTTGCGGTGGTCCCGATGGGACGAGTCGACGAGCATTAGCCTATCCGGATGCTGAGAGCAACCGTTTCCAAGTGAGCCAACCTCCGAGAGCACACATCCGAGGGCCCCTTTCCGTCTGCTGCCCTGGCATCATCGCCTGGTCTCCCGAAGAAGTCGGCAAACGTCGCATTCGCCGCCTTTGTAGATCGCTTCTGCGGAGTTCCCCCGCCGATAACTATAATTACTGTTATACATAAAACATGACATTCTCAATATACGTAAAAATCTACATTTACCGTAGAATGCTCATGGAAACACAGACCCCGAGAGCCCAATACCCCTTAAATAAGGAATAGACCTTAAATTATAGGGGCCTTAATATTATGATTTAAGGTATCTTCCTTAACTAAGGGGTATTGGGCTCTCTGTGGAAGGCATCGGAAGTCCTGAAAGTTTCGATGCTGCGATAGGCACCGGACCTCATCATCTCCATCTTCATCTCCGGCCTCGAGGGAACGAAGCTGGGTCAACCGGGGATACATGTACTTGAAGGATCATGGGACTTAGTATCTGAGGTAGGGTTTAGGGTTTAGGGTTTAGGGTTTAGGGTAGATAAAGGATCATGGGACTTAGTAACTAAGGTTATTATTAGGGTAACTGTACTTAAAACTACTTATAACCCCAATTAAGGTCCTTATAACAGTTAATCATACTAACTAAGTCCCATGATCCTCCAAGGATGCAAGGGCCCATACACACGTGGCAGAACAGAATGAGCTTGCAAAGAGACTCTTGTAGACGGCTCGAGTCCTCGAGGAGGTCGAAATCGCTTTCCTCCGCATCCTCGTCGAGCCTGAAGAAGAATCCCTAGCTGGTATAGCTGGCGTTAACCGTAGCACTTGCAGCAAGAAAACAAGTACAACAACGACGATACCTGCGGCATAAGAAGTACTGCATGAGTAAATGTGACAGGATCATGCGAAAACTGCAGACATCGTAATCTGTGACCATAGATCTTTGTAATTTGGAGTCTGTTGCACCTCAGTTTATTGCCTACTTGACTCGATATTGCCTCATGGTGCCCGTATCGGCCATGTCGGCGAACTTCTCCATGTCTTCAAGGCTGAAGAAGTCCTACATGTGACAAAACATCAATTCCGTTACAACGTGCCCCCTGCGCTTCAAATCCTCAGACGAAACAACTAAATTGAAAGCTCAACCCAAGGATCTTTGGCGGTATCCGCAACCCCCACCCTAACGCAAACAAAATTACTAATGTATCGTACGTGCAGCACGGCATCACAATGTCTCCCGACCCGGACTAGTACAGCATGCCCTTTGCGGTGTCGGCCAACGAAGTTGCGACAACTTGGGGAGCGGTTGTGTGCCCGCGCTTCAGAACTGTCGTTCTGCTTCGTACATCCTGAACTCCGCTAAGACTTTGCCTGAAAGCCTCCCGCTCACTCTAACCATTATTCTGATTGCCCCCGAATCTCCGCACTATCCAACCAAGCAAAATCTGAGGTCATGCAATAGAGGTCCTCATTGCCATCAGCAGCTTTCGCAGCCTGGGTCGCGACATAGTCAGTAGGAACCTTGTTATGGTACTCCCTTAAGAGGGTGTAGCTAACTTTGCATATTTGGGTCCTTCTAGAGTCTGCCTTACCCAGAGAGCCCAATACCCCTTAAATCAGGAATAGACCTTAAATTATAGGGGACTTAATATTATCATTTCAGGTATATTCCTTAACTAAGGGGTATTGGGCTCTCTGGGTAGCTCCAAACCCTACAACACAGTATCGAGCTTCCCAGAAAATCCCAGCACTGGCCAGTCCTTCCCTCATTGTAAAGGAGCCTTTTTCCCCTACATACTGCTGATGGACAAAATCCTGCAGGACCTTATATACCTAAACTTTGGGATTTATGGTACTATACTATATTTGGGTCATGCAGAATTTTGTCCGTCAACCGTACTTCCATCTCTTCTTCTCATGTGGCTCATCGAAGGCACAGGTCAGCAAATACACCCAGACCACATTATGCCATGATATGTGTATATATATATATATATATTATATATATATATATGATTATATATATATATATATGTATATATATGTATATGTATATGTATATATATATATATATATATTATAAGTAATGCAACCCGGGAAGACCAAGTATGATACAATCCAGAGGCATAATGCCGAATAAGGGTGCTACAAGCGGCATGGCTGAGTCTGCACTTCGTAGTCTAAGGTGCGGTTTTGAAACTCCATTCAGAAATTGAAACCCTAAACCCTAAACCTGCTTTGCCACCCCAAGGCCCCAACCCAGGACCCTCAAAGGCCCTCTAAAACTGTAGAAGAGACTCTTTTGGCTTAGGATTTGGGGCTTAGATGGGTAGAAGAGACTCTTTGGCTTAGGCTTTGGGGTTTAGATGGGTTT